AATTTATTAAAAAGCTATATTTTCCTGAGAGACTGATACATATACATATACATATACATATACATATACATATACATGTTCCCTTTATTCCTGCAATATAAATTGTAAATCTTGGAGAGATATTTTTTGGTGTCTTGGGAGCATCAGGTTGAACCAACAGGGATTGGTTAATAGAGTAAGAATGTCATATGCAACTCTTCCAAACTTGTTCCATTAAGCTCTCTTGGCAGTCACTCACACTACATTGCGCGAAAGGATTGAGAAGAGTTAAAGAAGAGATCACTTTTTCAGCTTCAACAGAGAGATTTCACCAGCATATTTACCAGAAGAATCTGGGAATGGGTTTCACTACAGTGATACAGACTGCATCTTTAGGAGGTGACCATTATACTGTGTGTGTTATGTGTATGTGTGTGTGTACATATATGTATACACACACATACACAGAAAGAGAGAGTACTGTAATACTGCAAGAGGGTTTTTTAAACTTCCCACTTTATTTTTTTATATACATTAATCAGATACCATTACTTACTACAGTTGCAACTATGCACTTGTACAAAGCCATAATGTTGGGTTTTATATCACTCATTTGTGTGTACCTGTTGGAGCGGCATGTTCATGTTACTGTAACAAAAACTTTGAACTTAATTTTCGCAGTTTCCTAATGCTTCGTGGTAGGCAACTTTCCCCTTTTTGAATGCCTTAATTTAATTTTTTTTCAAAGTCTTAGCCCTTTTCTGTATTAAAAAAAGAAAAACAAGTGTTTACCAGCTCTTAGGATGCAAATTTGCTTTGCAGAAGAAAATAGTGCACTATTTTTCCACATAATAGTTATCAATGTCAGCCTATTTTGATTGTATAACAGAATTTTTTAAAGTATTGGTGATAAAAACAATAATGGATAGTATTAGAACTAATATATCTTTTATGTATATCTATTATTCATTCAACCCTTTTTACAGATCTCAGTATTAGTGTGTGACTATGAAATGCTTGGAATTTGCTGATTACCCTAGATATGTTTTTATTTCTGGTAATAACATTTGTGACTATTTTTACATTTCACACTCAACATTCAAAATTTATCTCAAGTGTAAAGAAAACTAAAACGTACTCTAGATATATTTTAAATATTTAAATGTGATCCCTTAAACACACAATTGTGTACAGCAATATCTCAGTATTGGGTTATGAAAACTGGCGATCAGGAAGAAGCAGCCTCAAAGGCTCCTTGCTTTTTATTTTTTAAATGCTGTTGAAGTTGCAGTTTGTGCAGGACCCTGCCTGCTGTATTTCTCAGTGTCCCACAAAAGTGTATGTTTTGTGCTGCGACAGTATGCATCAGTGATAAGCATCGGGTAAAAAAATTATGTAGCCTTTTATCAGTCTCTATACGTACAACACATACACAGTTTGGTGTGATATTAAAATACATCATTTAATATTTCAATGAAGGAACTAAGACATTTTTCACTGATTCCCTTTGAGGTCAGTGTGGAGATATTTAAAGAGTTAGGTCCCCAGTCACAGATACTGCTGTAGAAACTGAGGAGTGGCCTTAGGTCTACCGATGTCCTGGAACGGAGTCTTGTCACTCTGGCAGCGTCCCGTCTGCGCGTGCGCTCCTGCTGTCTGTGCTGAGAGGAGACGTGCGTGCCCTAGGCGATTCCCTTGCAGGTGTGCTCTGCAGTTCTGGTTTGGGGGCCCAGGTTTTTTTTTAAAGTAAGATTTAAAAATGAAAAATATATAAAATTTATATAGAATAAATATTTCCATTCATTAGACTTGTTAAAAGGAGACTGAATTAATATTTTATATAAAGATTTTGTTACACTATGGGAGGTTCTATCATATTATTCTGAATTGGAGAGTATATATATATATTTTTAATAAACTTTATTAAGGTGAAATAATTTGAAGTTTACACATGAGTAATTGAAATATTTGAGTAAAAATGACAAACGTTTAAATTTTGAATGCTGTATATATTAGAGAATATGGAGGATCATGGTGTGATGCAACTATACAAGGAATACCGATGGGAGTTTTGGGAAGGAGGGAAGGTATTCTAAGGGGTGAAAAAAAAATCTCTCCCATGGAGATTCTTCACATTATATGGTTTGACATAAGGGTTTATAAGGTTGTTTGTCCAACTAATGGAAATGTGCTTAATAAAGATTCTGACCTTGGATAAGAATTTGCTGTTTACCCTGCTGCCGGTTTCATGTATGTGCATGAATGACGCACGCACCTATCCAAGTGTCCTCTTGGCAACACTCATTAAACACGATGCTGACTTGGTTTAACAACCAGATTTTGTGCCAGCTCCTCTTTTTCTTGAGGCTCCAAAACTTCCAAGATAAATATAAGACTAAAAGTTGCTAATTTCCTCACACCTGATTACTCCTAGAGCCTTAAATACCTCCTATTGAGAACTAAGAAGTAGTGAATACTGGGATTTTCTTAGTTGGATTTTTGTACTTTTGTGGGGATAGTGAGACAGAAGTAGAAGGAAACTTGGTATTACTGTTGAAATTAGTGTATAGTGAATTTTTGAAAAGTATTAATTTTTAAAAAATGCTATATAGAAGCAAGAATTTTTTAAAGATCTATGTGAGCTTTTAAAATGCTGTAGCTAAAGGCTAAGTATACCAATAAACCTGAAGTGTAGGTTAGTGTTTTTTTAAACTAACCTATGCTGGAGCTACAGGGACCTGGCTCTGCAGGGCCTCCTCCGTACCCGCTTGTCCCTAGATCCTTAAGGAGAATCGCTCTAGGTTGCCAAACCACAATGTAAGAAGTTATGCTGCTGTTGTTAATCTATTTTCCTAGGATTCTGGTGGTAAAATAGACACTATATTACCTTGTGGAAACATGCTTTAAGAGACATGTTTTTAAAAATCTGATGAGAGCAAGTCACTTCTGTGTTGACACTCACTGCTACTGACTCCCCTGCCCGCCCTGAATCAGGCCTCCGTGTCCCTCTGTGGAGAAGCTGCCGCGGCTGATTTGTGAAGCACTTTGAAGGCCAGCACTGTGTGACGGTGCTGCCTGTGACGCTGGGGGTCCTCTCCTGGGTTCCCTTCCCCGTAATGAGTTTTGTTTGAAATTGTAATAAGTTATGAATTGCATGGTTTAGATCATCATAAATATTTGATCTGCTCTCCCCTTTGAACAAAAATCGTATCCCCCCTGATTTTTCTTTCTTTAGACTGTTGCATCTTTGTAGTAATGTAATTGTATTATGCCTGCTTTTTATATCAAAAATAAATAAATAAAAAAGACACACGCATTCTCATACTTTTCCTGTGAAATAGTCCTGGAATGCTACAACCTAAAATTTACCCCCAGAGTTTGCCTTTTCTGCAAGGTGGGTGTGAAAGACGGGTTCTCCCAAGTCATCGCTAAGGTTACAGACTTGTGAGCCTCTGGCCCTGGGCCTGGCACTCCGCGCACGGAGAAGTAGAAAATACAATTTCAACCAGGAGTCTGCTTCTGATTGGATGTGGGCATTTTCAGGGGCACGCACACCTACACTGCACCATCATTGCGCCCAGGGCCAGGAAAAGAGGCAGGGTGCCTGTATCGTCAGAAGTGGTGTGCTCGCTGTGTTGTATGAAAGGAGAGAAGGTTAGAAATGGTGTGCTCACAGGCGGTTTTCTAGAAAGCGTGTCTTGGTAATCGGTGGATCCTTTCCTCGGATATTCAATGGCTGGCTGATCTGGGACAGGTTATTCGCAGAGCCTGAGTGCCTTCACCTGTAACATGGAGATTGTTTACTTACAGTGTTCTTGTGGGATTAAATAGGAAAACTGCGGAGTATCTGGAACAGCTCAAATGTTTGCTCCCTTCCTTCTCAGAGGGAAGAAACGGAGGACTATCGAAGCCTGTTGTTAAAGGAGCTGCTTTAGCAGAGCCCTGGCGTCCCCTCGCTGCCTGGTGGTGGCGCTCTTGCACTCTCGGCCCCGCAGCGCCTGGGGGCGGCGGGACTGCGGAACCAAGTCCAGCCGACTCCCAGTGCTCCGAGCTTCCGAGCACTGTCACGTCGGCACGGGCAGTGGAGGTCGGCACAGACACGGCCGCCTTCCCTGCAGCCTGGCCCTGCGGCTCGAGCGGCCTCTCTTCCCACCCCCAGGCCGGGGTCCGGGCCCTCGGCCGCTCCCCATCTCCTTTCCGTGCGGACCCTGCCTTGGCGGCCCCGCGCCTCCGGCTGTGACAGCCAACACAGCAGAGCGACAAGAGTGCAGACTGGACGTGCCCTCCCATTTTCCGCCCTCCCTGCCATCGAGCAGGAGGCAGCGAACAGAAGCCGCGCCTTCTGTCCAAAGCATCCCGGGACCTCGTGCGGTGCCCGGGGGTCGCTGCTGCAGGCGGAGGGCGTCGGCCCCTGGGCCGCTCGTGGGACCTCGCTCCTGCCCCGGAGCGGCACTCGGGAGACTCGCACGGCGGGGGGTCCAGCCCCAGGGCCTTTCTGGACGCGCAGAGGCACAGGGGCGGGGCCCTCTGGGACCCGAGGGCTCGGTCAGTCCCAGCTTGGGGAACACTGGGCAGAGGTGGCCGCGGCTTCCTGAGTGGGCAGCCTCCGGCTCGTGGCCACAGGGGTGGGAGCGACCGCAGCTCCCTCCCAGGGCAACTGTTCGGCGAGGGCCTGGAAGTTTCTCCTTTGAGACGTGAACGAAAATCTGCTTCCTCATCCTTCCGGTCGGACGGGCCGGGCCGGGCGGGGCGGCCCGGGAGCCAGACTGGAAGTGCACCCGACCGTGCGTACGCGGGCGGGGCGTCCCAGACCCACAGAGCCCGGGCAAACCGCGGGGCCCCAGGGGCGGGGCCATCGGGGTGAGGGGCGGGGTAGTGGGCGGGGCCAACCTGGGCGAGGCCTTCGGAGGGCGGAGATCCGTGCGGGCGGAGGCACACCCCGCGGCTAGGCGGGTCCCGACAAGGGCGGGCCCCGGCACAGGCTGTGACCGGCTGCCGGGGTTGGTGCCTGGACTGGGCGAGCCCTGCGTCCGAGAGCTGAACGGCTGCTTCCCGCGCTGCGCCCGGGTCCGTGGAGCCCGGCGCCCTTCGAGCCGCTGGCGCCATGGCCTCGGGGCTGCTGGAGCTGTGCAACTGGAGCACGCTGGCCGTGTGCGCAGCGCTCAAGCTGCCTCAGATCTCCGCCCTGCGGGCGGCGCGCAGCGCGCGCGGTCTCAGCCTCCCGAGCTTGCTTCTGGAGCTGGCGGGGTAAGGGCCTGGCGGCCGGGGTGCCCGCCCTCCCTCGCCTCCGGCCTGCGGGAGCCCGGAGAGCGGGTGTAATTAAGTAGGGGCGGGGGGAGCGGGGCCGCGAACCCCTGACCGGGGGGAGGGCGCCTCCCGGGGCCACGCACTGCCGCTCTTGCTTTGCCGCCCGCCAACCTGTGTGGTCAGGCATTGGCTGCGCACGCCCACTTACCAGATGAGGAAACCGAAACCCAGCGAGTCATCGCGCCCCCATGAGTGGCAAAACCAACTGCCTGGCTCGGAGCAGGGCCACTTGCTCCTGGAGACTCTCCTATACAGTCACCTGTCGCATAACGACGTTTAGGTCAACAGTGGACCGCCTATCCTACGGTGTTCCCATAAGGTTACAATGGAGCCAAAAGATTTCTGTCGCCTAGAGGCCTCTTAGCCACGGTACCGCCATAGGGCCCCCGCAGTGCTCACTGGTGTGTGACGCTGCCGGTGTGAGCAAACCTACCCACCGCCTGCCCGTCGTGTAAAAGTGCAGCCGTGCCACCACGGCCGTGGGCTGCACCGGCCAGGCGCGTCTCAGCGCACACGCATCGTGTTGCGCTCTGAGGTGTTCGCAGGACGGAACTGCCTGCGGGTGCGCTTCTCAGAGGATCCCCCTCCTTAACAGGGGTTTGACTGTACTGAGACCTCGGTTTCCTCACCTGTGCAATGAAGGGCTGGACTTTTCCAAGGACCCTGTGGCTTTTTAAAACTCCGAGTTGGGGGGTGGGGTGGCGCGGATTGGGAGAGTGGAAAGCTCTTTGAAGGCAGTGAATGGAGAAGGGGCACTTGATTCGGTCCGTGAAAGGTGGGCAGAGACCAGCAGAGGCTGCTCCTAGAGACGGTTCATCCATCCCAAACCCAGGGCGAGTGCCCTGGCTCGGTATTTAAAGACCTAAATGCAAACGCACAGTGGTAAAAACTTGGTTGGGAAAACTCGAATTAGTGGAAAAATCTAGCATGTGACACCCAGAGGTGATGACCCTCCCCACGGGCCGTGCTAGGCTCTTCCTGCTTCTCTCCTGCCAGCCCAGCCCCCACCCCCACAGACCTCCCCGCAGGTTTGGAGGGCCTGCCCTCCCTGGGGGGCAGCCTGGTGTGCGGACCCCAGGATCGGCGGGCACTGCAGGCTGGAAAGGAGGGAGTGGAGCAGACCTGGTGGTGGACGGATGAGGGGCCCCCGCCCTGAGGGACCTGCTCTGGGCTCCCGCCATGTGAGAGGCTTGGGAAAAGCCTAGCCCAGGGGAGGCTGTGTGACCCCCAGGGGTTTGCCAGTGGCGCTACCACATGGGCTCCCAGGCGGGATGGCTGGGATTGGGGAGTGGAGAGGGGCCCTGAGGGGTGGGGGACACTGGCGCACAGTGGCCCTGGTGTTTGTTCAGGTGGGGGAGCGTGGTGAGGAGGCTGAGGGCGTGGGCTGGAGGGCGGAAGGCAAGGCACAAGAGCCTCAGTTCCCGGGAGGTCCCTGGGCCGGGGGAGATGAGGCTGTCCCCCGGGGGCGCAGGGGAGACTGACGCGCCTGCAGGCTAGGAGCCCGGCCACACTCCGCCCCTCCTTCCCGGGACCCAAGGGGTGAGGGCTCGCCTTTCACCCAGCCTGTCCCCTATCTCCTTTACCTCCCAGTGTACCTCAGCCAAGCCCAGGCCTCTGGCAATGGAACGAGGCACCTGGACAGGCGGCTTGTCCAAAGGTCCTGCAGGGATCGGCATGTGCTTGGAGGCTGGGGTCATGCTGGTGAGAGGACTAGGCTCAGGGGGGACCCTGGGGACTGGCAGGGGTGGGGGCCGGCGAGGGGCCCAAACAGACTGCCGGAGGAGCTGCCCACAGGCAGCTGCTGTCATTTTTGCTCCGACTGGAACAGCTGCCCGGGGCAGGTTCCGGCTCTGGGGCCAGGCACACCGGTCTGTCTTCGGTCCCTGGCAGCTGGTTGCCCTCTGTAAGAATCATGCGTAAGTGACCATCCTAAGGAACTTGACAGAGACCATGTAGATGATGCCCACAGCCCAGCCGGAACTGGATGCTCCCAAAATCACGGAGTTTATTAAATTCACTTTCCATCCTTTTCACCGTCTCCCCCCCTGACATCTGGGCTGCAACCACCAGATCTAAGGTTTGGCCGACCAGGCCTCACCCTCGGGCGCAGCTGGGCCGCCCTGCACGGCCGGCCCAGGTTCAGGTGCGCCCTCCCTCTCCCCAGGTTCCTGGTGGTTTTCCGGTACCACTGTTACTATGAGTACCCGCTGCTGACCTGCCTGGAGTACCCCCTCCTCATTGTTCAAGGTAACCAAGCCCTCCACGCCCAGGGCAGCCCCGGGCCCCTCCCCCCTCTCACTGGAGCCTCTCCCTGCAGATGTCACCCTGCTGCTCTACATGTTCCACTTCCAGGGGAGCGTGCACCGCGCAGCGCCCTACCTCGCCCTGTATCCTTCTGGCATCGGGGAGTCGGGTGCGGCCCTGGGTGTACCCGCTCGCAGTGTGCGCTGTTCTGCAGGGCCCTTTGCTGGACACGTGCCTTTTTGGTGAAACAAGGCTCCAAAGTGCAAGACTGCGTGTGAGCAAATATGTTTCCGCAACCCCGAGATGCCCTCGGGCTGTCCCTGCTCGGTGGCCCCCCCTCTGAGACCAGGGTGCCCGTGGGGGCTGGTTTCTCACTGGAGTCAGAGAGAAGGGGGGAAATCAATCAGTACAGAGTTTCACGGGCCACCTGTTTGGCAGGAGATGCTGCTTTGATAAGGTTGGCCCCTCTTGTCAGCGCCTAACTGGTGACCTGACAGGGGCGACGTCTGCATGGTCGGGGATTAAGCCAGAAGTTAAAGTCACCTGGGGCGTTCCCAACCCCAGGAACAGCCTGCGTCCCCAGGGTTCTCTGTGCCTTCTTCCCTGGTCTGCTTCTGTTCTGCTGGACTCCTGGCACGTGCGCACGTGCAGCCGGTTTTGTCTCTTCCGACTCTGACCAGTCCTAGCAGAGCCACCCCCGTTCCACACCTGGCTTCCAGGTGGAGCCCCGTGGGCACGGGCCGCAGGTCGGTGGGGCCGCCCGCCCAGCCGCTTCCTTAACACTTGGCAAGATTCACAGCGGCGTGGTTCATCCTCGCCGTGCGGAAGTGGATCATAGACCTGGCCATGGTGAGTCCCGGCCGTGAAATGGCGGTCCGTCACTGCGTCCTCTCCCTGCCACCTGCCCTGCGAAGAACTTGGTAGATCAAATGTTCAACCTGCGTGTTTTTCAGCTATGCCAGGGGATGGTGGGAAGAAGGCGCAGTGTTCTCCCAATAGTAAAAGACATTAATTCTCACTTCAACCTATGGGAAGTTTTTTTACTTCCTTTCTTGGGGTTGAGAGAACCAGATCCGGGAGAGAGTTAGCAGCAGCAGAACGAAGAACTGAGTATAAGTTAAAGAGCTTCCTGCCTCGTTAATAATTACATATTGGCCACATACTTATGGTTTTGCTGAATTTGTTCTCCCCCTCCTCCCATTTGTTGTCCTCCTTGGAAAGGGGTTAGCCCTATACTTTTTTTCCTTCCTGGTTAAGGGCCTAATATTCTCATGCTCTGAGAGCAAGATTCTGATAGTAGGTCAGGAAGCATTTGACCACAGAGCTTCTCTCCCAGGTGACAGAAGTGAACATATCTACCCATCAGGAAGTGACAGAAGAGACTGACTGGAGGTCGCAGGTCACTGCCTGCCGCACACAACTCGTGACTTTCACCCCCTTCTCCCCCGACATCCTGTCTGTGACCCTGCCTTCGAAAGTGGTCTTAACGGTGTTAGGTTTCAGCGTAGTGAGAGCGCGAATAAGTGGGGTTGCGATGTTAACAATGCATAATTTTTCAGTGTAATTATGTCCCAAATATAGTACAGGACATGCTTAGGTTAAAAAAAAACATTTGTTGTTGATCTGAAATTCAAATTTACCTGGGTGCCTGGTATTTTTATTGGCTAAATCTGGCCACCCTCCAAAAAGTCTCCTGGCATCTCAGGAGCTGCTTTGGCTGGCCAAGTGGGTGTGGCTCTGGCTCTTCGGGATGACACAGGTTGGGAAGGAACCGGGGCCAGAGGCCAAAGGCCGTGGGATTGTTCTATTTCGTTTGTCTCTTCTGGGCCCTGAGTTCTCAGTGAATGCACCTGGCGCCCTAATAGTTCATAAAATAGTTCCCTTTTTTCCCTCGTGGAGCTGTTGCAGGCCCTGCCGGCTTCCTGGCGCCTACTCCGTGGCAGCCACGGAGGCATTGGGGACAAGATGTGGGCTTGAGGGTCATGGAGCTGCAGAGAGGAGGAGGGAGACCTCGGGCTTCAGAAAACCTGAGGTCCCCTAGGGGAGGGTGCTGCTCGAGTTCATGAAAACCCGGGTCTGGAAGGTTTCCAGTCCTAAGGCTTTCGGAAGCAAGCTCCCGTTCAGACGGAGGAATCCTTTCCACGCAAGTCCTGACCTGTGCTCTCGCGGTGGAGTTGGCACTTCACACCTTCAGTGTGCGTTCAGGAAAGTTAGGGTTCCCGGGCTCATTGAGCGTGATCTCCCAGCAGCCTGAGCACCTTCTCCTTCCCAGGCCTGTTCTGGCTTAGACTCTGTTACGGAACCACCTGGTCCCTTGCAGTTGAATGTGTGTAATGAGACTGTCCAGGCCTTGGTTACATCCCCAAAGGAACCGCCTTCATGATTCTAACGTTGGCGTTTTGTCCGGGAAGAGGAGTCTGGCAGCGTGTCCGGCAGGCGCTGTTAGCCTCTCTGGGCGGCAGCCTACCGGAACGCGGCCCTGTCCGATGGCACGCGCGCACGTGCCCTGCGGGGGCCCGAGCGGCGCCCTCCCTGCCCCTCAGCCACCACCCTCCACCTGCCTGTGCTGACCCTGCTCCTGGCTGCACCTGCTCCCCGGCACTCCCTCCTCCGCCTCCTCAGGTCACCAGCCTGTGCAAGGACCTCCTTCCTCACAGGTGCCCCCGCTTGGGGCCCGTCTCCCAAGCCCCCTGCACCCAGCTCCCAGTGCGCCCTGCCTTCGGAGGGGACCTCAGGCCTGACCACGGGCCTTGCCCGTCTACTTTCCCGCGCTCCCTCGCCCGAGTGAGCCCTCCTCTCCGCCTCGTCTCCCTGTGTTCGCGGCTGCCATTGCATTTGCCAGATCGCTTTGTTCTTGAGAATTCAGTCATTCAGCCGGGACTTCCGGAGCGACCGCCACAGGCCAGGGCTGAAATCCCCGCATGGAGATTTCCTTCTGGGGAGACGTAAGAGAAGGAGCCGCTCTCCTTCTGCTACAGCCTGGAGTGGTTCTCAGCCCTCATCTTAGCATCTCTGCAGCTGGACACAGAGAAGACTCCTCCTCCTTTGCTCCTCAAACTCGCTTTGTTTGCGGGCTCCCAGGACACCTGGCCGCCTGTGTCCCTTCCTCCCGCTCCTCCTCATCTCCCCGGCCTCCTTCCTCAGAGGCCTCAGGGCTCCGGCACATTCGCGGACGGATCTTGAGCCACAGACGTCTCCGCTTGTCACGCCAGCCCGAGGGTCTGGCCCCCAGTCCCCCGCGCCCTGCGACCTCGTCTCTGTGATCAGCAACCCCGATCGGTCCCCCTCGCCCCAGCCCCAGCAAGGCCAGGACCCCTCGCGCTTGCACCTCCCTCCGCTTCTCTTTTCCTCAGACCCCACACCCATTCCTTAGAATACACCGAGTCTGAATACTCCGCCCCCTGCTGTTTCTGCGGCCCTGGCACAGGCCCGGGGGGGGGGGGGCAGTGTCTGCCCACCGGTCCCCTCCCAGCTGCCCAGCTGCCGCCTGCCTCCCTTCCGGCTGTATGCAGCCTGCCGCTGCCGTGGGCGTTTGTAGGGGCGCCCCGGGCTGGCTGGTGGCAGTCCCTCCTCGCAGGCCTGCTTCCTGGCCACCTGGGCTCATTACAGGAGCCAGAAAGTCAGAGCCGCCGCCCTGGCTGCCGCAGTGACTTTAATTAAGAGCCTGTCAGTTCAAAGCAATACCGCATATAGATACATACATACATACATACATACGACTTCCTTTTATTGGCGGGGGAGGGGGCGGGGCGGGGGGCGGATGCGCCGTGCGGCCAGGCCTGGTTCCTCTCTCCCGTCCTCGCACAAGCCCCAGGCCTGCGGTTCCTCGCCCGCGGCGCGGTGGGTGGGTGCCAGACAACCCTCTCCCTGTTGGCGCTCTGTTTCGCCACAGTGGGTTTTGCCCTTGCACAAATCGGTCCTTAGTTGACCTGAAACTTTGGCTTCAAAAGCGCTTCCCGTCTCTAGTGCTCGTTTTTTAATGAAGGGACTCCTAACTTTCCCCCTTTTTATCTGCACACAGAATTTCTGCACCTTCATCAGCGCGGCCAGTAAGTTCGCGCAGCTGCAGTGCCTGTGGCAGAGCCGGGACTCGGGGGCCGTCAGCGCCCTGGCCTGGGGCCTCGCTTCCTACACTTGTGCCGGTGGGAAACTACGCGCCGCTGCGGGAAAGGGGCGGGGCGGGGCTTCCCAGCCCCCAGCAAGCGCCCAGCAGAGCAGCTCCTGGGGAGGTGGCAGCAGGGGTCTGCGTGTCCTCGTCCCTCCAGATTTAGTCCTTTGCAAATTGCTATTCAGATAGACCCTCCGAGTGGGCTCGCATGTACAGAGCTGACGGAGTAGCGCCCACTCTACATTTTTTCTGCCAGGGCCACGCTTCAACTGCTGAAAATAAGCGAAAGCACACCTTTCACCCCAAATTGAGCATGCTGTTGAGTTCCCCCCTCTCTTCCTAGAAAAGCATCAAGAGCGTGATTATATTGAATCCACTCTCTTGTTTTAAAATTTTGAACCCCTGTGACGTGACAAGGCCCTCCCAGCCCGCTGCCCCGGGTGGCCCCGAATCGCCCCGCGGGTCGTGCGTCGGCTGGGCCGGCAGCGCGGCCGGCTTCCCTGCAGCGCACGCAGTCGGGTGCTGCTGCGTGTGCTGCGCCGCCGGAGTCTCGGGAAGGGCTAGCGTACATCCCTGACCTCGAAATGGAAAGACGTTAGCTAAATACCGAAATGCCGGAGGAGCGAGTTGCTATTTATGACTTAATATTTTCTTTTATAGCAAGAATAATAACAACCGTAATGACCACCAACGATCTTACAAGTAAGCCAAATGTTTTCCTGCCCCTTTTTCAATGTTATGCCGTTTTGCCTCCTTCGTTTGTAACCGTCTTGGGGCCTAACAGATGCATTCACGGGGCCCCACTGGAGGAGCCCCTTAGAGGCCGGCCACGACGTAGTGCTGGCCTCCATCAGTGGCCGTTTCTGCCCTGAGCTGAGCGTCTCCTTTTGCAGTGCGTGGCAGAGAAGATGCACACCCTAGTCGCTCGCTGTCTCCGTGGAGACGGATAGTAATCACACAATGAGCGATTGGAAAATATTGTGAAATGTGTTTTGAAAGAATAGGACAGGGCAAGCACACAGGAGCCAAGAGCATGCTAGGCCTGGCCCCCGAGAGAGCACCCCCTGGAGGGCTGGAGGAGCTCATGCAGAGCCTGAGGAGGGAGGAAGGAGGTGCGGGCCACGTGGCCCCGAGCACTGCCCGCAAGTGGCAGATGGACGGCCTTTTAAAGCTGGGGGGTGACAGGCTCATTGGACTCCGTGTCCTTGCCTTTTTTTTTTTTTTTAAGGGATACTGTGATGGAGAAAAAGATGAAAAGATGAGTAATTCCTTAGGCTGATTTTATAACTCCCAAATGTATGCATAAAAAGATTTTGGGAAAAGATGAAAACAGATGGGGTCACCTATTCTATGAAATATGTCCCTGACCCATAGGCCCTTTTGAAGTAAGGGAGCTCGTTGTTACTTGAGGGCTGGACCTCAGAGCAGCAGGATGCAGGTTAATCCCTTCCTGGAGGTTGTAGCTTTGGCTGGACCGCGGTCCAGTGGCTCTGAGAGGGTAAATGTGTTGCGGTCAAAGGTCAGCTCGGATCAAGTGAAAGGAAACCAGCCGAGCCTGTGCCCTGGGACCCGAATTCTTGGCATGGGAAGAAGAGTCAGACATAATGAAACCAGACCGACCTACAAACTGAAAATGAAGCTTTGAAGATTGAGAATGTGCATTATGACTTGTTTGCGTCCAAGGTGACAGCTGTTCCTGAGTGTGATCAGTGCATCAGGAGATAACCTTTCACGGCTCTTGGCTAGCCTCAGCGGTTTCGAACCACAAAGGCGCGTTCTGTCTCACAAGCCTTCCTGCTCAACGTTCCTCAAGGTCCGCGTTTTCAGCGCTGCCTCGGTGTAAACTATGCGGGGGCCGCGTGTGTGCCCATTTTCAGGATCATCTCAGCAGACTGTGCTCTGCGACCTGTCCTTCACACCGAGTGTTCTGGCACGCCGCTCGCTACCCTGAGAACTGAGTAAAGCGGCTCTAAAACGTTACAATGCCAGCCGCAGCCCGGTGCCTCCAATGTAAACATTGAAAAGGATAAATTATTATTCGTGAAGTCAGGCCAAGTGGCCAGGTCAAGTAGTCATGACAGGAGGAAGATCATTTTCCCAAAAATATTGGGAACCAAATTTGGAACTAAAGTTGTTCAAGTTCCCATGATCCGTAGTTCTAAGTTTCATTTTGGGGGGTGGGGGGCTGGGTAGTGAAGCTTTATCACTTGAGGAATTACTTAGGTTTCTAGAGCAGAATTGACTTCATTCCATTTTGTGAAAACCATATTTAATGTGTACTTTTTCTCTTTTTGAATGATTTCAGTGCTTATACGTTTTGTGATCATGCTGGCTCTAAATCTGTGGGTGACGGCGACAGTGTTTTACTACCGGAAGGCGGTTGCCAAGGCTGAGTGATGGATATGTGATTCTTACACACGAAGTGGCGTTCGAATAACTGAACCAAAGGAAGGAAAGCCTCATTGCTAAGTCAAATCTTTTATAAACTTAATCAGTCATTTCAGAAGCTTTGAAGCCAAAAGTATTTTAGATTTGAGGCATTCAAACACTTTTTCCAATGTAATTTCCCACCCCGCCTGCCCCATTATTAGGTTGTACGGGCTCAGACATGATTGATGGAGATCATCCAAGAAGTCAGTGTGAGATCACTTTGACCCATACAAGTCATGATCAGGTTCTCTCCAAACAGCTAACTGCATCTACTTTTCAGCTTTCCGAATCTTTTAAGAAGTAAGTCCTCTGCCCAGCACAAGTGAGCGTGGAGTGGGAGTTTGCTCAGTCAGAAGTGGAATTGTAATAAATTACCAGGGTTCGCTTTCTGGGACTAATGCCTAATTGTAACACAGGTGTAAGAGGATGGCCTTATTGTATCTAATACAGCATAACACCTCCTTCAGTTGGAGCAAGTATATCGGGGCAAGCAAAATGTGCCTGGCGTGAGTTCGCATACCAAAGCAGCCCTTGAGCTTCACACTGTGCCTTTCAGCAATTCCTAACAAAAGGTACTGTTTGATGCCTTCTCTGTGCTGAAGCAATTCACACTCTGATCCAAGCGCAATGCTGACGTTTTTAAAAGGGCTGCACCCTCACAATTAACCGTTATGAGAACTTGGTATAAAATAGAGCTAACCTCGACCAGGTTGTATATATTGAAAATATATACAGTAAAGGCTCTTGCTGGGTTCTGCCAAGTTTTTATGGGTTTTATTCTCATTCTAGTCGCATATTTGAAACATGACAAGATTATCGTACACTGTGTTTTTCTATGAAAGTTTATAAATCCTAACATTTAAAAGCTCTCTTTCCCCTTAGAATTGAATGGCATTCTTCTGGGGTGTGTTATGTTGGGAAATGCCCCGTCTGGTTTCAGGGACTGTAGCTAACAGGCGAGAGGGCCCCAAGGCTGGAGCTAATCAAGGAGGCCTTAGGAAAACCGGCCGCTAAGGAGACAAACCTGTCCCAGGGCAGGGGCGCACCCCCTGCTGCCCCCGGCTTGGCCCTGTGCTAGTTGGTACTCAGTGATCGGTACGACCTCAAGAGGAGGGACAGCCTAAGCCAGACACAGCCGATAGGGGCATCTGGGAAGAACCTGGGGGGCACAGAGACAGGGCAAAAAGGCCTGCATCCCTCGGCTCGGCTTGGACAGGGCCAGAGTCCTCGTTCTGTCTGAACGAAGTCTCCTGTCTCTTGGTGGCTCGCCCCGCCCATCCAGCTCAGGCTTGAAACAATACTAAAGGCAGGTACAGCCCTAAACTGGAGTAGTGGTTCCCCAGGAAGGAGATTTACATTATTCATGGACCCTGACCTAAGGCGGATCTCCTCCTTATTCCTTCACTTGTTATCTATGATCTTTATCTGTTTTCTGTAAACATAGCCTCTTGACATTGATTGATGAGCTTTGTTGTATATCCCTGCACAAATGGTTCTCAATAAAAGCCTTTGGAAAAGGGCTTGGGCCTTCTCCCCTAGAGGGGAGAGCCCTGTCCCCTCTCTTGGCAAACTCATGTTTATCCCCCGCTCTGTGACACCCCCAGGACGGGCTCTGTGGGATTCAGAGCCCCGCTCCCTCCTCAGCCGGCTCCGGACAGTGACCCTCAGATCCAGGAGTGCTCTGCGCAGCGCTGCCCGTGACGCGCGCGCGCGCGGATAAAACAAATGATGTTTGTTAGATGTTTTGGTTTCCTGTGTAAAATAAACTTTCATATTTTGAACGCCGTCTTAAAACTGTTGTAATGTAATTAGTTTTCAGTTATGTAAAGTGCCATTTTAAAAATATGAACTGCGGTTAATTGTCTAAAAGTAAAGAAATCATTCATTCTGTAGTTTTTAAAATCAGAGTTGTCCCTTTAAAAAAATACCCAAGCCCATCTTTTCTCATACTCAGGTACACTCTGACCATTTGGATAAATACAAATCATGGGATTTGAATCCAGCACATTCTGGCTTTTAAATCAGCGAAGGGGCACGGGGAGGGGCTCGGGAGCGCGGGGGACGCACACGTCCGCTCGCCCTGCTTGAGTCTCAGGTACGTCCAAGGTGTCACCTCAGGTGTTACTAGCAGGGGGAGCCTGGACAGTGGACTGGGAGTCCCCCAGGGTTTCTGTAAAGTCAGCTGCTCCTCAGACGCTGCTGGGCGGTGAAGGTCAGGTCGTGTGGACCGTCACCGCCGGTGGGAAAAGTAAGAGGGGAGTAGGAAGCTCCCTTGCAGACGTGAGAGGCTAAGCAGCAGCGGCAGCAGCAACAGCTATGGAAGCAGCCAGGATCTGCGGTGCCTGCTGTGCATGGGTGCTTGGCTTTCATCACGTCATCTCGGGTACAGGTTGGAGCAAGGAGGCTGGTCCCCATTCAATGTGGTCCTGGTTGGCAGTTCCTGGTCTGACACAATGCGGTGGCTGCCTCTTCTCCCTGCACGTCTTGGGCTCTGTTTATCCTAGTGGTGGCCAGGACCTGGGCCCCAGGGCAGGCCGCCCTTCCCGTTTGGGGAGGCAGAGCCCGCCTCCTCTGGTGTGGAACAAAAGCGGCCGCTGAGCGGCCCAGGACAGAGCCGCTGGGCAGGGTCGGCCGGCGGAGGCAGGGCTGCAGGAAGCAGGTTGCTGCCTGGCTCTGAGCCTCTCCCGGCGCAGGCTGCTTTGCAGGAAACCCGGGGTGTGGCGGATGTGGGTTGCATTCCCAGACTGTAACGAAGGCCGTCACCTGGCAGGACCCCTCAGGGCGAGGACGGGGCCACAGGGCCAGGTCAGCTGCAGGCTGTCCCCCGCCCGCCCCCCACCCACCTGGGGCAGCCCCGCCAGCCGCCCCCGCCTCCTCCTCCTAGACAGGCTGCAGCTCATCGTCCAGCTGCTGCTTCCGGACGCCCTCCACGAAGCGGAAGTCCAGGCCGGTGAGGGTTTTCCCCAGAGGCGTGTCCAGCCTGCTGCCCACGACCCGGTTCGTGGAATGGGGGACCATGTCGGAAAAGAGAGGCACATGCTCCGGCAGCTTCCCAGGCTCCTTCTTATTGCCCTGAGGAGAGGGGACAGCTCACGTCACATGGGTGGAAAACTCCTAAGACGCCGCTTCACCTGTGGTGGCAGTGCCACAGGTTTTGTTGCCGCTTTTGTTTTTAAACAAAGCGGCCTTTTACTAGATCGTTAAGGCAATGCATTACAGGAAGGGACCCCTGGTCCACAGCCCACCCGAGCTGCAAACGGATAAATCGGAGCGTGAAACCGGTCATCGCGCACAACAACACAGGATCACCTTGATCTGCATGCAGAACCCTGAAGTTCACTTGACCGAAAGTAAATAAAAATAACACCCATCTTTCCATTGCGAAAAGCGCTGGCTCTTGAGAGGCGGAGCGTGGAAAGACCCATCGCTTTCCTGCTGGCCTGAGTGTGGAGCTGAGCAGCCTATGAGGCTGGTTTTGGGTTTTGGTGGATTTTTACTTGAAGTTTCACATACACACAGAAAAGCATGTAAGGGGTCGCTGTGCAGCTCCATAGACTTGCGCAATGTGAACATGCCCGTGGTGCCCCCGCCCCGCCCCCACCCCTCCCCCACCATCAGGATACAGAACAGGGTCAGCCTGCGGACACCTCCTCTCGCCCTCAGTCCCCATCTCCCGGCCTGGTCTCAGCTGCTGACAGCACGGGCTGGTTCAGCCCAGTTTGGGACTTTCTCTAAATGGGATCACGTCTGGATTCTGTTGCTTGAGAACGTTGTAGAGACTGGTCCGTGTTTTTGTGTGGTTGCAGTTCATGCATCCTCCTTGCTTAGCGTATTCCGTTGTGCAACTTCTATGAAGACCCCTCAAGTTGTGGGGTGGTTTCCAGTCTGGGGCGTTCCGAGGAGAGCCGCTGTGGACATGCACGTGCGTGCATTCGGTGCCTTCTGCAGCCGATGTGTGAATCAGTGACAGACAGCCCATGGGGATTCAGAACAACCCGATGCGTGGGCAAGCCCACGGCCCTCCCTGCCCCGTCCATGGTGAATCTGGTGCTCCCTCGTGTTGAACGGAAGTGACAAGACTAGTTATGCGATGGGATCCCGGCCTTCACCTGCGAAAGCCGGGCCCGGTGGCCCCACTGCTGGGCGTGATACCGGCTTCAGGGGGCAGGTTGCTACGCAGCCCCGGAGCCCTCGGGTGGGTCGGGCGGGAGAGACTCCGCAGGCTGGAAGCTGGAGCCGGAGCTCGGTGTCGGATTTCAGGTCCCATGCCCTGAATTTTCTGTCTCTGATCAGACGGAAACCCGGTATGACCAGCGATGACGACGCAAAAGCTTCCCCAAAGCCTGTGTGGCCACCGCTTTGGTTGACTCGCTACCTCCTCATTTTCCAGGTGGTTCTCTGACCACTCTGCTTATGGCCAGATTCCTCCTCCCATGGGCACATCCATCCAGCACAACGGAGTTTACCGGGCACTGAGGGGCGGGGGCAGTCGTGCAGGAATGAAGTCATCTTTGTCCTTTCTCTTAGGGAGACCCCAGCCTGGTGAAGTTGGTTTCTGCAACAGGACATGCTACACCAAAGGGACGGGTTAGATCCCTGGCCGGTGGCTCTCCGTTGCTTGGGTGCCGTCCTGTAAGCTAAAAGGACTTAGGTTCAGTTCCTGGTCAGGCACATGCCTGGGTCACAGGTTCCATCCCTGATCAGGGTGTATGGGAGGGGCAACCAGTTGATGGTTCTTTCTCACGTCAACGTTTTTCTCCCTCTCTCTCTCCCTGCCTTTCTCTCTCTCTAAAATCAATAAGCATGTCCTCAGGTGAAGATTTTTAAAAAAAAAACAAACCAAAACAGAGTGATCTGGTCAAGCCCACAGAAGAAGGAGCGATCCCCCAGGAGAGAAGGCACTCACGTGGGGTCTTGGAGGAAGAATAAGAGTCCATCAGGCTGGCAAGGCGGGAAGGGCATCTCAGGCAGGGAACAGCACGCACGCAGGCATGGATAAGAGAGTGCGGGGTGTTCTGTATAGGGTGAGCGGGGAGGCAGACTTATTGGCGGACTTGAAGTCTGGGAGAGGTACGGTCAGGCTCGTGCTTAGGAAAATTACTCAAGGAGGAGAGAGCGGAAGGGGTGCTCTTCGAGGCAGGAATGAGCTCACCAGGTGTTCCCCCCAGCTCGTCGTCCGCCTGGGGCACGCCCCACGCCCCACGCGCTGCTGACATTCCCAACGGGAGGAAGCCTCAGCGGCAGGTGCCCCCCTTCCCTGTTGGGTCATCTTAACAGAATCAAGAAACGCCGGGAAAGATTAACTTCTCATCACGCCACGTGTGTATTTTCTTGCCCACCAGATCCCAAATTTCTTGGAACAAGACTGCATTATGGGTCTCTGTACGTCCCAGCACCTAGCACACAGCAGAGCCCCGTCAGCGCTCAGTGAGTGAGCACGCGTTCAGGTGCGCACTCGGCCGACGGGAGCGGGCCCTGTCTTACCATGGGGTCGTAGTCGCTCAGGAAACTCCAGTTCTCAGCCCTGGAACGGAAAACACGTTGGCAGCGCTGGAAATGGAACTCGTATTTTAATCTATTTTGTACAAGTCACGCAGCTCTGTAAGGCCTGTAGTAACAATAGTCCCCTCGGCCCCAGGCCTCACAGGCCCAGAGCCCCACGGGCTGGGGCCCATTTTTAGCCCTTTCGCGGTTTCTGCACTGCTTGGAGCTGCCCCGTCCGGGGAATGAGGCGGGGCGCCCAGCCTGTCCCGCCGCGGCCCCCCGCTCCGCCCCCGCAGCCTGGCTGAGCAGCTCTCTGAGCCGTCGTGGGATCCGGTGGCTGCGTGAAGGGACGGACGTCCTTCCCAGGGGGTCAGCCAGCCGGCGTGTCTCTGTCCCGGCCCCCCGCACCCTGTCCTGCCAGGCCTAGCTGTAGGGGTTATTCCAAAGGACTAGAATGAACAGGGCGGGCTGCACTGGCTATGACCCCGACCCTGCCTGCTCTCCCTCCCACCTTCTGGGCCCTTCTCCCCCACCCCCGCCCTCTGCCCCCTTCCATGCTTTCTGCCCCTTGGCCCCAGCCTGTGTCCATCCATGCACTTGGCCAGGCCTCCCTCTCGCCCTCGGTCCCTCTTTCCCCAGAAGCTTCCTGACCCTGCGTCAGGCGGGGGTCAGAGGAGGAGGGCGGGTCGGGCAGGGCACTCACCAGCGCCGCTGGCTCCGCTTCTCGGCCTCCAGGAGCTCCACCCACAGCTGGTCCCGCTGCACGCCGTTGGCAGCCAGGGCCTCCTGCCCAGCTCGCGTGGCCCGGCTGCCAGCGGGCCTCCTGCCTGCTGCAGGGCCACCGCGGGCGGTGGGGGCGGCTGAGGCTGCTGGCCTGGGGGCGGGCAGTCGGCACCCAGTTGACATGGTTTTCTGGAGCCCAGAGATGGGGTGGCTCCCCATGGGTGCAGGGGTGTGTGTGAGAGAGAGAGGGAGAGAAAGATGGAGAGAGCGAGGTGCACTCCTGCCCGAGCGCGGACCTCTCTGGGCTCCCCCTCCGCCTGACACCAGGGGAGCCCGTGCAGAGGTGTCCGCCCTTCTGGACCCCGAGCTCTGAGTGGCCGATGGGGACCAGCACTCCCGGCTGGGAGAGCTGTCGGGCCCAGCTGTGTTTTGAGCTCCTGCCTGTGTTGACAGTTGCCCTGGGAACAGTGTGCCCAGGAAGCCATGGACCGTCCGTGCGCTTGCGCACATGCTGTGTGTGTGTGTGTGTGTGTGTGTGTGTGTGTGTGTGTGTGTGTGTGTGTGAGTCTGAACCCCTGGGTGGGGCAGAGAGAATTCCTGGGTCTGTGCCAGGCCCAGCTCAGCTGTCCCTCGGTGGGGACAGGGGTCTGCCCCCCTGGCTGGAGACCTCAATATAGCATTGGCAGGGAGAGGGGCCACAGGCCTGGGCTCCCAGGCGGGACATGGGTTTTGGACCCCGCTTCCTGGTCCTCACTCACTGCTGTGGGACCTTGGGCAGCCGCTGCTTTTCAGGGGGCAGGTGAAGTGTCAATAATACTACTGTTGGGCCCCTCACGGGTGCCACAGGCAATGGTGGCCATGAGGGTGCCTTATGGTTATGGACCAGGGTCACGGGAGGCATTGCTGGGAACAGGGGCGTAGCTGTGAGTGTGGGCCCGACGAGGGGACCGGAGCGTCGCTGCCGATGGAGCCCCTCCTGCGCCGCCCCGGAGCTTTCCGCGGCTCAACTCTTTGCCTTGCTGGACCCTCCCCCCGACCTCTGTGACCATCCGTGGCCCAGATTTCTGGTCCCATTCTGCAGATGAAGAAACTGAGGCCCTTGCCAGCAAGATGGAGCAGCCACCCCAGGTCACTCGGTTAAAAACTGGCACCCGAGGCCGGGACCCTCTGAAGGAAACAGTGAGAACCCACGGTGCGGCCCGCGTTCTGAACGCACAGCTGCGCTGCGCTGCACTGCCCTGACCCAGACGGCGCTTGCCCTGCGGCCTGGCCCCTCCTGCTCTGGCCCAGCTGACCTCCTCACACCCCCTCAGGGCTCCTGCCCCGGCTTCGGGTCTCCCTGCTTCTTGCTCTGCGCCACACGTGTTGGCAGACCCACTGTTCTTTCCAGGAGGGGTCTCTGTGGCCGCCGCTGGGCGTGCAGCGCCATCTCTGCAGGGCTGGGAAACGGGAGCAGAGACTGTGCAGAGCTGTGCCCAAGGTGCCCTGGGGCACAAGGAGGAGCTCAGCCACCCCGCCTGAGCTGCGCCGCATGCCAGCGCCCGGCGCCCCTCCTGGGCTCTGCATGCAGGTAGGAGCTCCCAGGAGCCAGGTCTTCGCAGCTGCAAAGGATCTGCCAGGTGGAGAAACGGGCGGGTACAGAGGCCTGGATGCGCAAGAGTCCAGTGCTCGGGCTGGGACAGGTCTGTGCTCCGTGACTTGGAGGTTTCCCAGTAAAGATGAAACTGCAGAGACTGGGGGCCAGGAGCAGGCTCCCTGGGTGGCCATCCCCTCTTAGGTGTCTGTGTCCGCAGCTCGGCGAGGACAGGCCACCTGTCCGGAGGGTCACCACCCCAGCCATGGAGTGGAAATGCCGCCTGCAACAGCGGGTCTGTCTATATTTCAAGGTCCAGGATCCGCTGAAGAAGGTTATCTGGAAACTGGGTTGCAGACATGTCTGGAGCCAGGTGTGAGCCGGGCTAGGCCCTCTGGAACCCGCAGGTTTCTGGTCCCTTCCCGGCTCTGGTGGCTGCTGACAGCCGGGCATCGGCTGGCCCGCAGCTGCACCGCCAGTCTCTGCTGCCACCGCACGAGGCCTCGCGGGGTCTCTCTCTTCATGTGGCCGTCTTTTCGAAGGGGCACCAGTGGGGTCCACCCAACTCCAGTGTGACCTCATTGGAACCAATTACGTCTGCAAGGACTCTGTTTCCAAATAATGTCACATTCCGGGGGAGAGGCCGTAAGGCCTCTCATATATGGATTCTGGGTGAACATGATTCAACCCATGGCAGGTTATACGGATTTTGACTCCTTCTGCAATGTGTTGTGTATGAAACTAGCTTTTGTTCAGCCCCTACTGCGTGCCAGGCGTTTTGCGTCTGGTGTCTTCCTTTGTCACCCCATCTCATCAGGTGACTAGCGTCAGTTTCACTTCATGGATGAGAAAACAAAAGCGTCACAGGGCCCAGTGGCTTGTCCAAGGAGGGAGGCGGCGAGTGAAGGGTCTGGGGTCCACTCAGGCCTCAAGCCTGGGGTGCTTTCTGCCAACGGCGGGCGGCAACGTGCATGGTGGCCTGGCACCAAGCGCCGCCCCTTTGTTCCCCAGGAGTCTCCCTGGTAATTTTCAATAATTAGAGTCTACATTTCAATACCAGCCTCGCCTCTGGGGGCTCACGAAAATCTTCCCTGAAAGACAAGTGCATTAAAGAAAGAAGTATTGCATTTCCGGTTGGAGGGGGGTCCCCTTGCGTTTCTCAGTGGCACATGGCAGCCATGGGGGGTCCTACCTGGATGTGGTGCGGAGCCTTGGGGCTCAGGAAAACCAAGGCCCTCACTGATCCCACAGGCCAGGCCAGGACCAGAACCCCCACCGTTCCTGGTCACTTTCTGACGTCATTTGCATCCGACGTAAACGGTTTAACTTTGGCTGCCGAAAGTATACTCTCAGTGGTTTGTGTTTGGTAGACTCTGGGCTCCTGGTGGTGGGGCCGCTTTCAGCCCTGGAAAAATGTTCTGGGGCATCCTCTTTATCATCCCTGTTCTGTAGCTGAATGCGTTTTAGGGAAGTCGAACCGGGAGTGACTGCAACACTCGTCTGGGGCAGCAGGGGGCAGCCTAGAGCTTCGCATCCTCCATCGCCTGGACTCAGCAATTTCCTCTCCACCCAGGGCGCCGGAAAGGAGCTGAGCGCCTCTCTGATTTGAGGCACTTTGATTCACTGTGACCACCTCTGATCGAAGACAGGGAACGAGGGTAATGTCTGGAGAAAGTGCCCATGAAGGAGCCCAGCGGGCCGGGGCCAAGGGGCAGGGACAGAGAGGCCTCAGGGATTGGCAGGTCTGCACAGGGGGCACTTGAACGTTAAATGACTGTTCGGGCTGAGCCCTGCCCAGCAGAGCTGGCTGCCTGGCTGTGGGGGCTGGCCAGGCCGTCTCTGACGGAGGCCGTGCTGGCCACAGAGCTGAAGTGGCCGTGAGCAGTCAGGAAGAGCCGGCCTCTGGTGGCCAGCGTAGGGTGCTGGGTGAGTGACAGAGGGCGGGGCCTGGGCAGGGGGCAGTTCAGGCCTTCACATCCTTCAAGGCCAAAGGTGGGTACCTGCTCCGCGGACCGGCCTGGAGGGGAGCTCCTCACCCTTCGTTCCCGAGCTCTCCGTGTGCACGTCAAGGGAGGCCCGGGCCGCAGAGCTGTGGCCCCGGCCGCAGCCTCCTCTCCTGTCTGTCCTGGCAGCCGCAGGCCTGGCCCCGGCCACCTGCCGCGTGGGTTCTGGGGCCACGCAGGACCCAGCCGCGGGGAGGCCTGGGTTGGGCACCCACCACAGTGCACCCCTGGCCTGGCCCACCCGGCCCTCAGGTGAGGCTGGAGGGGCAGGGGGGCCGGTCACGAAGGCTGTCTGACCGGCAGGCCTGACTGCGGTGCTCGGTGGTGCGGCGCCCTGATGGCTCTGGTGCAGGCAGGGCGCCTGCTCGCCGCTCTGCGGGCCTTGAGGGCCTCGGAGGGCTCCCTCGGCCTGGCGGGGGTGCCGGCCAGGGCTAGGGCACAGCCGCTGTCAGGGGTGCCGCGGCTGGGCCGCGGCCTCGCCCCCAGGCTGAAGCCCGCCCCAACGTGGAGTCGAGGGGAGTGTGACATCCCGGGCACCGAGGGGACCTCCGCAGAAACGGCTGCTGCCAAGGAGTCTTGCTTGAGACGGAACCGATGCTGGACACCCCGCGGTCCCTTCAGTTCCGAGGGTCTGTGATTCTCAGTTCTTTCCCTTGGACGGGCCTCAGTGTCCTCACAAACCGACCAGTGGGGCGTTGGTTCTCAGACTGGACGTTGGGAGCTTGCTAAGCTGCAGAGTCCTGGGCGCGACCCCAGAGTCCCTCCAGCATCCACCTCCCAGGGGACCTGGCCCCTCCCCCTCCAGTCCCCGGCCTGAGTCCCGGGAAGGCCGCCTGCCTCCTTTATCTAAAGGGTCTGTCCCTTCTCCCCTGTCCGCTCCAGCTACCCTGTTTCCTGCCCATTTCCCCTGCGAGTAGCTTGTCATCTCAGCCCTTCCAAACCCACGGGAGTCCCTCCTCGCCCGTCACCTCAGCAGCACGCGGCGGAGGGATGGTTAACTTCACGTGTCGCTGGCCGGGCCACGGGGCTCCCAGCCACGCGGTGGGACATTAGCTGCCGTGTGTCTGTGAGGGCGTCTCCGGATGGCGCCACTATTTCAAAAATCGGTGGACTGGGTAAGGCCCATGGCCCTGGGTCCCCAGGGTGGCGGCCACGTCCAGGCAGCTGCAGACAGGACGGGACAGAAAGGCCGAGGAAGCGGGGGCTCGGCCTGAGGGCTGGGCTGGTGCGTCGGTTTCTCTGGCCTTAGGACTTGAGCTGAAAGACCAGCCTTCCTTGGGCCTGAGTGTTCGGATGAGGACCTGCGTACACCACGGCTCTCCCGGGTCTCCCGCTTGCCGGCTGCAGGCCCTGGGACTCCTCGGCCTCCGTAATCACAGCGGCCGATTGCTCAGAGCAAATCCCCTTACACCCCTGGGTGCATGCGCCCTGGGGAGCCCTGGCTGATACGGACGGGTCTTACCGTCTCCGTTGGACAGGTGAGGAAGCTCAGGCCCCAGGGGGGTAGATTGGGGACGTCAGAGCCGGAGCAGCACAGACTCGACCCCCTTGCCTTGGTGACTGAGCTCGGTGGCTGTCCACCAGGCCGGGGTCTGTGCACGGGCGCCACAGCCTCCCGGGGACCGCTGGGCCCCTGGAGCAGT